AACAATGTCCAAAGCACACCATGATATCATTGTTCAATGATACCAATCGAGTATGATGCGGCCTGATATGATTTGCTCATAATAGCTCGGGAACTGAGAAAGATATTGAATCGGATGGAAAACACAAAGTGAGGTGAAGAAATGATAACGATTTCTCACAAGGTTCAATACACTACAACTTCCCAATCTAAATATCTGATCGGTTCCATGTCAGAGGGCTCGAAAAAGAATAACACCCAGTCCAGTGTAGCTTAGTCCCCTCTATTGATAAGGACTGTTCATATTGCCGATAGAAAATCGCTCGATTTTGTTTCAACTGAGATAAAAAATGGAAACTAAACATTTATACATAATAAAGAATACTAATGAAAGCAGAAAGTTTATCATAGCCCTTAAAAATTCCTTATTGAGAATTGCTTTTATTCATTGGATGCATATCTCAAGATGTGATTTAATAAACATATATAATCCTATTATGTATATAGTACTAATCATTATTATTCTATTCTTGACCATCCATATACATATACACTCATGTTATGTAATGTTCATGCAATTATATTGTGTCCTTGTCCTTATACTCTTTTTTGTTTTTGTTGTTGTTATTTATGTATATAATACTGTGACGTATCCAATATCATATGAGTGATCGAAAGGACCAATAAAGATTATTATTATCATCATGAGAACAAGTTTCTTCACGACATAATCAATTATAGGCCGATTTCCCTCTTGAGTCATTTTGCTAAAATATTCGAAGCAATCTTAACAAAAAATTTATTTTTTCAATCCAAAATGTTAATTACCCCTAACCAACACGGTTTCTACACTAAACGATTGGCGATCACTAACCTCTTCCCTTTTATTCAGGATGTCTTAAGCGAGATGGACAAGGGTAAACCTACCTGTGCTGTTTACACGGACTTCTCGAAGGCGTTCGAGAAAGTTCATCATCCTACTTTGGTTAGAAAGCTTCAGAACTTCGGTGTGCACGGCAATTTACTTCAACTTTTGAAATCATACCTCTCAGATCGAACACAGTACGTAGTTATTAATGGTTATAAATCGATCGAGGACCATGAAGGTCACATCTGGGATACCCCAGGGATCTCACCTGGGACCCCTACTGTTCTCAATTTTTTTGAACGATGTTGATCAGTGTTTCAAATGGACCAAATTCAAACTCTTTGCTGACGATCTGAAAGTGTATCAATCGATAACCACTCAGGAGGACTACCAATGCTTTCAATTGGACCTTGATAGGTTCACAGAGTATTGTGCAGTTAACAAACTTCAATTGATCGTTGGTAAATGTCACAAGATCCTGTTTACTCGTAATAATCATCCTCCCACTTCCAATCTCGTACTGTGCGGTGACGTTCTGGGAGATTGTGATGTGATCAAAGACTTAGGTGTTCACCTAGATATTAAATTAACCTTTGACACGCACGTCGAATTGACGGTGCAGAAAAGTCTAAGAAATCTTGGGTTTATTATGGGGGCGACAAAATCCTTCCGAGGCCCAGATGCTGTTAAATCGTTGTACAACTCCCTTGTGAGATCCTCCCTGGAGTATGCATCTGTCATCTGGAATCCCTTGCATAATAATCACTCCAATAGAATTGACAATGTTCAGAGGAAATTTGTCCGACACCTGAATTTTCGTTTTAACCATGGAAAAATTTTCTCCTCATACAATGCTAATGTTGAACACTACAAAATTGAAAACCTTCAACTGAGGAGAAAAATTTTCGACATTCTTTTCATTTACAAAGTGGTCAACAATCTAATTGATTCTGAATTTTGCACCAATTCTCTCACTTTGAACTTACTCCATATGCCGTGAGAAACAGACATCTTTTCACAACTGGACCTAGCTATACTAACTCTCTACTGAATTCTCCCTTCAAGCCGCACTAAAAGCACTTGAATCATCTGTTTTCACATCAAAGATCACATGGGACTGCTTCAAAACACTCATGCAACTGGGAAAGGACAACAAAGTCATACTTATGTGGGTTTCAAGGCATGAAGGAATCAAAGGAAATGAGGCAGCTGATCTCCTTGCATGAAAAGGTGCAGCATCTGCAATTTTTGGTCCTGAGCCTTTTTGTGGGATAAGCAAATGTCACCTGAATGAAGGACTCAGAAAATGGGAAGAAATTGAAAAGTCCTCGTACTGGAGAGCAACTCCAGGTCAACGACAAGCGAAAAGGATCATCAACCATTCGCAGAACCGAGCCAAAGAGCAACTCAGCCTCAGCAAACCAGAACTAAAGCTTATCACAGGCTTTCTCACAGGACACGGCCTTCTGAGGTACCACCTCAAAAAGATGGGCCTGGCGGAGACTGACACTTGCCGCTTTTGTTACAATGCGTCCGAGACCGCGGAACACATACTTTGCTCATGTGAAGTATCCGCCAAAGGCTGGATCACCTAGAACAGGTATATCTCACCCCTACTGAGGTGGAAAATTCAACCCTCAGAATAATTCTAAGCTTCATCAGAAGTGTAGGGTTACAGGACCAAAACTAGATAAGGGTAATCCCAATAGATATTCTAGGTCGCAGTGATCGAGAGGTCTCCCATCAGCCTATACGACCCATGTACAATCTATAATCCATAATCCTATAATTCACAATAGTAGTAGTCTTGGTCTCGAAAAATAAATGTGATCTTGGTCTTGATAGTCTTGGTCTTGGATCAAAATGCGTCTAGAAATTTGAATTATTCAATTCAAATATTCAACAGTTTATATGCATTCCATATATTTCTCAGTCTTTGAAATTGTCGATTTGTAGGTTGAAGTAAGCGAAAGGAATTACTACTTCTATCATAAGAATATAATTTTCAAGAAACCTTGAATAAACATTGAATGAGGCCCTCGATGAGGCCCAAACAGCAAACAGGCAAACGCCCGACAGGCCAGAAAAAAGGTACAAAATGGTCTGATCTGACAACAACGCATTGTCATAATATTTCAAAAAATTTCAAATTCAAACCAAATAACTATCATATTAAATTTGTTTCTATCTTCAATAGGAGGAGAAAGTCTTGGTCTTGGTCATGGGAAGATTTATCTCGCGAAGCCCTAATCCGTACGCAAAATGCCACTTCAGTTATAGAAACATTCAATTCAACGACTCTCTGATTCATCTTGTATTCCGTTTCGTTGTTTTCTTGCCTCGTCACTCTGGATGAGCTTCACAATTCTACTTGTTTTGTTTCATTACGTAGCAACTAGCTCTTGATGAATCCCACATTGAAATCATAAATTCAATTCAACGGCTCTCTCTTAGAGATTGAGGCGAATTTAAGTGGGCGACGATAATTTCTAGTGGAAAACGGGAAAATGGAGAAATATGTAGCTCTCCACTCTTTCCTGAGTGGCCTCATGAAATGTGAACGGACTTCTTGAGATGGGGATTTTATTTTCAATTAGTTGCCCGCAAAATGGAAGTCTGAGTGTCTGTGGAAATTCATAATTAAACTGGAATTGTGTCGACTGAGTTCTAGATTATGTTATAAATTCTCATTCTCATAACTTTATTGAGTTAAATACCTTTTAAAGGAAATATAAAGAATATGTAGGAAGATTTCAAGTATTTTTCTATTGTTTTCAGTCACCAATCTGGTGATTTTGTTCTAAATGATTCAATTTCTGAATGAAACTACAAGTTGTCATCACTTAAGTGGAAGTGGTACATTGAAAACTGCGAAACCTCAGGAGCAACGGGTGAGGCAGAGGTATAAAATTCACTACTGGTGAGTGGAGCTTAAACACAACGCCGATAACGCAAAAATCATTATTGGTTTGTAAATCCGTTCCTACACCAAGTTACGAGGGGGAGTCTGAAAATGCATTACGACGCGGTGACCGCGGCGTGCTGACTTGTCGACTTGTTTACACATTGCGAAGAACGCTCTAAAGTCTAAACGTTGAACCTTCGCCTGTCGACTAGCCGTGCTAGTCGTTATAAGCTCGAAAAAAAAAAGTTATCATCTGGGTGATGGATGCGTCCATTTCAATCCAGCAAGCGAGAAACATCATTCCGATTTTTGATGTTGATACTAATTCTTTTTTATTTCCACGAATTTTGTCAATATATTCCGAGGTATTTTCCAATGATTTTCACACGAGTGGAAAGCTGTTCTTTTTGTATTGTGTCGATACTAATTCCACCTCGAATTATGTTTTTACAAATGCAACATCATTTGTTGAGTTTCTTTCAAATTGTTATCTGTTTATTGATTGATTTGAAGTTGTTAGTATCAAACGAGAAATGATATCGAAAAAAGAAATGGGATAACTATAATTCAATAATATTAGTTGGACGAATTTGAAAAATAACTGGAAATTTCAATATGAAACTGATTTTTTTTTTCATTTTATTCCTCCAGAAGTCGAGGAACTTTCTCAACTTTTAATCCCTGAGGGGTTCAAACACATAAGAAACAGAAATTCGTTTTGTTAATTCTCAGTTGACCCTGGATTTGAAATGGTCCAGTCTTTTTTCCAGAATGTTCTTTTCCTTTCGATTTTCTTCTCATGGTTCGATATATGGACATTTCACTTCCACAATGGAGTTTTCTCTTTCCGAAATTCCGTCAGGACTGGCAGCCATGTAACTGAATTCTTCATCAATGAATTGTCCACATTTTGATATGCTTTTTTGCAAATAATCTCCCAGGTCTTCTTGTGCTTTTGCTTCATTTTTTATGCCATATTGAGTGGCTTTCGCATAAAATGGTTCGGGATGAAGAATGAACTTGACCTTATTTTTCACTGAAGACGTTTACTGCTTTTTACAGATCTCTGCAAATGTTGAGGCCGTAAACGCGTTTTCGCCATTCACTCTGCCATAGAGCAGAATCAGCCTGATCAGATCTCGTGTCAGTACTATAATTTTCTGGCCTCTTCAACAGTAACTGATAAATTTGTTAAAAAATCTTTTGATGCCATGCTGAAAGAAGCGTCATCAATATCGGGTTTCATACAATGCTTACCGTAGAAAAGGTAATTTCATCTGTCTTCCCGTTTTTTTATGTTTTGTCAGCTCATGTTTCAAAACGAAAGGATGTATCGTTTAACTTTTTCAAACTCCGATTTGAGATAGCTCTGTTTTGTTTTCAAATTCAGGGCAACCACAGTCGCATAACAACGAGTTTGGTAAGATCTCTTCATGACATAATTAATTTTTTTTCCCCCAGAGTGTCTAGCGATCACATTCTTCTGCACAGTTGATTACATCTTATATCAAGCATTTCACGAGGTATCTAACAAACTCCATTGGTTTCTCATATAATATAGATCTGAAAATACAGATAATCCAATTACTCGATATATGTTCATTATGCCAAGAATATAGAATCCTAAGGATTGCAGGAAAGTTGGGATTTATGATATTTTTTTCATTTTACATAGACTCAACCAAAGAATAAATGAATTTTGACATATTTTCAATAATTATTTTGATATGCATAATTGGATGAACGATTGACGAGTCAACCTTTTTTTCTAGAAAAAAATGTTTCTACAAGAATATGTCAAACATATTATAGGAGTTACTGAATAACTTATGAGTCAATTCCATCTCGGCTACAGTTGAGTCTCCAGTTTTTTTTTGGCAGAGATATTTCGACCATTTTGTATGATCTCTCAAAATGTGTTTCGGGCTGTTAAATATATCTTTCCTCAAGTTTTCAACTTTCTCTACTGAAGAAAGGAAGGAACCATTTAATTTTTTCGTACTTGATGGCTTCTGTAATTGCATATTTGAATCACATCAGATTTTTTCATAATGAAAAGGGTATACCTATATATAGTATAGTAGCAGTACTCACTGTGCACAGACATAAAGGATTGCTCCAGATATTCAGATATTCATCTGTTATTGAATAGTTGTCCTTAGAATTTACAAGGACTGTTCCAGAGTTTCATTCCTCAAATATAAATGAAATGTATAGTACTTGTATCATAGAAGTAAGTATCCCTTCTGATACTGCGAGTAGAATTTCATACAGTTTTTTGATGTTAAAGAAAATCATAGTTGGAAATATCTAACAGAAGACACTCACTCCCCCAGCTGATACCATACAAAATAGAATTATATCTAGTATATATCGGAGAATAGGTAATTTATCTTATTCCATATCGATATATAATCAGTCTGAAAAAACAATTACGATCCAGAACCATTTCAATTGACCTTCATTCTCCGGAGAAAAGAAGATTGTGAGTGAATATTCGGCATGACATTCGTAAAAGTCCAGTATATTAACTATTATAATCAAATTAGGATCATACTATATAGATGGAAACCATTCATGCTTGATATTTAACAGTTGAGTGCATGGGTGACGAATTGATGAAAATATAGATAATACAGCCAGGCATCACGCATACATCGTATTCAACATGCATTTCCATCAATAGTTTTAATTAATATTGAAATACCTATTATGAACATGTTATGAGTAATGATCAGGTTTTGTGTTAGGTTCTCGTCCAATTTTGTCCAGATGAAAGCAGTTGAGTCCAGCATTCGGAAAATATATCAAACAATATCATTGCATTCGAAAACACTGAAAATATAGTGTTAGGATGCTACTGATATTCGGTACTCTATATTACACTCGGTCAGTCAATTGAAATGACCATTTTAATGTGGAACTTTCTTCCTAATCAATCGAATTTCGAAAACTTCGCAACTATGTAGATAATATATATGTTTCCCTCCTTTTTTTTGAATAGTTGTTTGAAGAGGAAGTCCTTATTTCTGTCTCTCGTTTCAGAATATTGCATAGTGGCTGAATCTCTTTTTTTTTTGAAAAAATTCCTCGTACTCATGAAACTAATTTTCGAAGCATTGTGTTTGTCATGACAATTGATCCTCAGGCACTCAAATCAATCACAGTATACCTACCCATCAGATATTAATACATGAGTCATCACTCTAATATTATTCTACTAATAATAATAATAATAATGATACTACAATAAAACTTCAGTTATAATATATCCACGTCTAATCTGTTCAATCAGCCAAGAGTTCACTAATTTTATTTCTGTTCATTGGTATTGTAATTTCTGGAATACCTGGAACATGGACAAATAAATCTAGAGAACTCCTCTTCTTCGGTATCCGGAATGAACTATTTGTGAATTCCAAGTAAGATAAATCTTAACTGTATATCACCCATAGCCTGCTGCAAAAATAGTACGGGGAAACAAAAATTCAAGTCTGAGGTAGCAGTTGATTCCTTCTAGGACTGAAACTTCAAGATAAAGGTACTATAATATATCACAATGGAGGATCTCGAAGAAGGATATCAGTATACAGGGTGAGTCATGAGGAACTGTACATACTCTTACCATGAATTGGAGCCCTTGAGGGGAATACCAACTGACCATCAGAAAGTGTCATCTTCTCTTCTGTACCAATATACAGTGTGTCCCACTTACCATGCTCACCATGGGTATCTTTTTAACGGTGAGAGATACGAGGTCGGTTAAATGACACCAAATGTGGAGTTTGTCAAGGCCAACTATAATATGAAGAAATATAAAGACTCTTTGTTTTTGTTTAATACGCAAAAAACAGATTTTGATCATTTTCATGTCTCCTCCGTAACTTCTTTATTTATAAAAATATTCAAATGGGAATTTCACATTCTCATGGCAGTTTTCCGAAGTGATTTCGAAAAAAATATGAAATTTATACCAACTCTTCTAGAATTTGAGTTTTCAGCACCAACTTTAGTTTTTCAAATGTAGGTCATAGCTCACTATGACTTAGTTACAAATAACTTTTTTTTCTCTTACAGATGATATGTCGCAGTAATGGTTTTGTGTTGATACCAACGGAGTTATCGTCATTTATACAAGAAGAAAAAAATTATTTGGAAGCCACCATCTTGAATTTATAAATTTTGACGAAAAAATCATGATCTCCGACCTCAGAAACCCCCACTTACCAATTTTGAATGGAATCGTACCAAAGCTTGTCCGCCATCTTGGACCAGCCATTTTTTTCAAGTTCAACAAAAATCCTATAATGTATTGTCACCGATATTATGAACACCTGCCAAACAAAACGAACACCTACTGAAAACACATCAATTGTCGATTGTCGAAAAAATATTGTCAATAATAGACCAATTTATTGTCATAATAACATTGAGGAACCTATATCATTCATTCATCGTTCAACCAGTACTGTTTCACTGATTTTGTGAAATAGATTATACTCATTGATTCCCCTATACTATTGCTAATTGCTACATACGTATTTCATGATTGAAACAGCAATGAACATATATATTGACAGATCTGAAGTAAGGTATTCTTTTCATACAGGTATCTTGGGTGAGGCACCGGGACATCCATCTTCTCACTGTCGGCAGATACACATACACTTCCGACCAGAGATTCGAGGCTGTTCATACGCCCCACACAGAAGAGTGGACTTTGAGGCTGAGATATCCTCAGAAAAAGGACAGCGGAATCTACGAGTGTCAAATAAGTACTACACCACCCATAGGACATTTCGTGTTTCTCAGCATTGTAGGTGAGTGGCCACTAGGTATTTATTGTGCTATTCATTGCAATCGATCTGATGACCTTTGACATATCAGACTGAGAATGTACATTCATTTCACACGATATCCCACACTACATCTGGTAAACTAGAATAAATTAGTACAAAAACAATTGAGAATCTAAGTTGATTATAGTCATATGAACTTTTTTTCTTCAGATAATCTCATGCGATTTCTCGAATAGAATAACCGAAATTCCATTTCGTTCTTGAAAAAGGCTCAGCAAGACGAGTTCAATGGAATTATGATAACATGGGTCTGAGATCTCCCGTTTCGAACTTATCCATGATCTTCTTAGATAAATAACCAAAATCTCAAAGCCCTATATAAACGTTGAGAATCAAGCTCACGATGCGCAGTTCTCGTCATGAATTACCAAAGTTTATGGGTTTATATTCAGAAATTTCGAATTTGTCAATAATGACGACGTATTTTTCAAACCCATCATTTCCTCGAAATTTTCAGATGGAGGAAACGAGTTCAATGATATATGATGACATGAGTCTGAGAACACTCGTTTCGGACTTATCAATGATCTTTTTCAAAATCCTCTGAAAACGTTGCGGATCAAGTTTATGATGCGCGTTTCTTCAATATCTGAGAACAGTGTAATAGAGAGTTATTCAACGAAATACGCGCATGTAAAACTTTTCTTAATGTTTTTAGAGGGTTTTGGAATTAGACTATTCATTGATGAAGATCATGGATAGGTCCGAAACGTGAGATTTCAGACCCAGGTTATCATATATCATTGAACTCGTCCTTCTATCCAAGGACAGAATGGAATATAGGGTATTTCATTCGAATCGATTGCCCAGGAGGCTATTGAAATTATTTCTATTGGTCCTGTGTAAGTTTTTCTTCTATGTATCATGAAAATACGACTTCTCTTTGAGTACGAACTATACTACCTTTTCAATTCACACGATTACATGCGGAAAACTTGCAAACACATTTGCTCATTGTGAGAGATACAGGGTCGGTTAAATTATGACAAAATATGTGCAATTTGCCTAACGAAATATTGTTGAAAATTGAGATATTCCGAATACTACAGAAGATTTTCGGAAAAGTCCAAATATTCGCGATTTCATTTTCATTTTTTATGACTCTATTTGATTATATGTTATGAAACAAATTACACATTCTCTTTGCTAATTTTTATCAGTTTACCAAACCGACGTTTTGTCATCAACTTTGTTTTTTAAAATACGGCCCTGTATTTTTTATTATAAATTCTGAGTGCTTCAAATCTACTGAAATCAACGGTGTATTCAACTCGTCCGAAAAAGGTGATTGTTCTCTCTGTGTCTACATAACACAAGTTGTTCTTATGGAAAATGCCCTCGATATGAATACTAGGTATATACCTATAGTATATATGAACAGCGCACAAGAATAGGATATTTAGTTCTAATCTTCTCCTGAAGATGCTAACATCGGTTTGGTAGGTGGTAAAACAGTGTAGTGTTTTATCGTGCCAAAGGTTCCAGTCTTCAATATAACGCTTTTATATGGTTAGTCAAACTAAACAGAAGCAGAAAATAAAATGATAAGAGTGTGCGTTGTTAAATATTCAAGAGGAAAAATAATTTCGACAAATAATGTATGTATCGTAACAACGTATGCCTGGACAGCTATAATCAATAAAATGACTCGAATTGAATTCAATATTTGTGTAGTGTATTTCCTTCAAATTTAATATATCAAGTAGCGTAGCAACGCGCGCAGAGCACTGCTAGTTGAAAATATGAATGAAATCGCGAATATTCGGTATTTTCCGAACGTCATTTGGTCAGGAAAAAATTGCGCAACTTTGCCATTATTCAACCGACCCTGTATATCTCTTACGTTTCACGAGATCCCTATCACTCCCTATGATGAGGCTCGGATTCCAGCCACCCTGTAATAAAATTCAAAGAGCCATTCCACTGATATTGAAAGCAATTGTTTCCGGATATAACTTTGGTATATTATGTGAGGGTGATTCACGAAGGGTTCGAAAAATATAAAATAAAAAGCCTTCTCCATCGGCCTTGCATCATGCATCTGAACCATTTGTATCGTTTTGAGGGTCAGTTCTAGGAGAATGTATACATATAGGTTTGATTCATGATATGTAGTGTGCCATTTCATTCAACTATTTTTCTTCCTTCTATTGCATTATATATTGCAAAAAAATATCACTCTGCAAGAAGAGTTCACGAGCTGCCGCGAGCTAATGTCTTTTCATATCAGGAATCCGGAGACGACTAACGATTCTCATCGAACAATAAGTGTTCATTGGTAAGTGAGATGACTCATTGAGGTAAACGAGTATGACAAAGATGGAAAATGATTGAAGGGATGAAATTAAATGATAATTGTATAACTGTGAAATGACATCTTGTAGGATTTGAATGATTATCTTCAAATTTCCATCTTTTAACTATAATCTTGTCTCATTTCGAATCTAACAAATAACCTTTTTGAAACAAAAAGAGTGATTTGAAAGGGTGACCTGTTTTACGTTGAAAACGTGAACTTTTCACGTTCATCAGATGACATTCCGTGGTTGAAATGTTTCATTTGGCGGTTATAAGAAGTTTTCAAATAGAGACATGTATAAATGGACTTTTCTCGGTGTAGGGGGAACAAAAATAGAAATATTAAATTTTCACCCCCTTTCACCCTGCTGCCGGCGACCATGCCTCTCGATGATATAATGCACAAAGGCAGGAGCATGATATAGCAGAAACTGAAGTTAATTCCAGATTTTCTGTAGGTTATTAGTTGAAGGATCAATTATGTTATAAAGCACAACATAATCGCTATCGACATGACACTTTGATGGCTCTATTTCGAAAGGGTTTTCAACGGGTTCATCCAGTGAATGATTCTCCAACAGTATTTATGGAAGGTTCATTGCTCAATATGTGGATATCTGAATAAATTCAATCAGATTACATTACAGCAGGCTGGACATAGCTAAATGATCAACAAAATTAAATGACACAGGGCAAACAAGGGTCAAGTATATACAGTGTGTCCCACTTATCATGCTCACCATGGGTATCTTTTTAAAGGTGAGAGATACGAGGTCGGTTTGATGGACATAAAATGAGGCCATTTTCAAGACTATACTTTCCTATCTCTTCAGATGCATTGTTGCTCAATCTTGGAAGTTCATCAATGTTGTTGTGTGACATTGAAATATCCGTATCATAAGCATATATTATTGTTTGATTTGCGGAGGTGCAAGTGTCATCAATGTCACTCGAAAATTCTATGAACAGTAGTGGTCCCAAGATTGAACCCTGTGGAACCTCTTCATTTATTGCCCTTGATTCTGATTCTCTGATAAATATGATGTTACTCATTGAAGTGGAGTATACGTATTGAAATATTCAAATGATGTTCACCTCAGACGATTTGAAGAAAAGGAATATATGAACTTGTGATCGGAAATTTTTCGTCTTACAAGGTGTTGAAATCGATTTCTTTTCGAATCACTCCTGCTCAGAATGAGTTTAACAATTAACGCACGATATTTCAAACTCATAGTTTTCAGAGGTAGGAGATCATGATTTCGTATTGATTCTCATATGATCTGTTGGTGCATGGTGGTAACGAAACTTTTCTCAAAAATGATTTCATTGGTCGAAGAAAATAACCAGCAAACTTGTGCATACATCTCGAACCCTTGTGTTACAAATGAACAGAAGTCAACTCAAGTCTACGACTGAAAAAATGAACTATCGTCAGTTGTTTATGCAAAGAGGAAGCCTCCAGGAGAAACCAAACATTTCTATATCCAGTTGTGAAGTGGTTCCTCTCATTCGATCCGTCGAGATACGAAAAACGAAAAACCACAATGAAAGAACAAAACCTGTGAGAGACTGTGTACCACTTCGAGAAGTATAAAAAAGGCTTAGAGCTTTCAATATCTATTAGACTCAACCCTTTCTAGTAGTTTTTCACCGGGCTCTGTAATGACGGATCAAGTTTCGTCTGCGAACAAATGGGATCGATCACGTGATAGCCATTTATTTCCAAGGCAATTAATGAGTTGATCAGACTTCAGTGAGATGTTTCTGAATCTGGAAAAAGTGCTGAACGAAGTGAGCGAAACACATGTCGAGATAATTCAGGACGCACATTGAAAGTTTCCAAGTTGGATTAAAAAACTTAGAGTTGGTTTTCCTGTGGAAATCAATGATATTCAACCTACCTGAAATATCTCTCGTCCCGCAGCTGTACAGGGTGTGTCAACTTTCTCATTTAAATAAAAAGCATCACTGTTGGAAATTCATTGATGATTCAATAAATAGAATTTGTATAGTCCCAGTATGTCTACAACTATTCCTTAGTTGAATCACCAAGAGCATTTGCAGTCAACCGAATTATCATTCATATTGTTGCTATGATCAATATGGTGATTCTCACGAGACCAACGAGACGAGACTCTCATCGTCTCGCCGATGAAATATGAAGTCTTGTCTCCAGTCTCGTCTCGCAGCCTGGAGTCTCGTCTTGTCTTGTCGTCGTCTAGGAAGAGAAAATTACAACAAAAGTAAGTACCTAATAGGTACATATTCACATCATTCATCTTTACAAGAGAAAAAAACATAGCATTATATATTCGAAATTCATAAAAATGAAATGAAAAGTAACACGTATATTCTAAACAGATAAACGAAACAAAAACTTCAACCCAACATTATTTTTCTTATATTTAAGAAATAGGTATCTGAGAAAAAACCTTCATCAGTCAGATCAGCCTTCACGATCACAAATGTTTTTGTTCTTCACCCAGTCGTTAAGACATAAAGTTATTTTTTATTTCAGACTCATTTATAGATTTTCAGGTAGTCATTCAATTCGCGATCTTTCGTTATTGCAGAATTGCCTCTATATTCCGCCGCCGCAAGAGAGAATAGTCTGTGTTCGTTTCACGCATTACGTCGTTTTACAACAATCATGGATTGTG